AAAGATAAGTACATCTGGATGGTAGAGGCTAGGGTAGTGAAAGTTATTTAAACCACAACTCTTTGACTAGAAGGAGTTGAACTCTGCTTTCTGCATGGGTAAAAAGTCCCCTATGTCCCTATGGACAGGGGATCCTTCCAACTTTTTCCCAGTTCTGACTAAAATGCCAGCCAAGATAGTCTCGTTTAGGTACTTCCCCCAATCTTTTGTGCCATCTAACTTGCTTATATCCTAGTTTCCTTTTCCTTATCTACATACATGGAGGTTGCCAATCTAAGTGCCGTTGAAAAAGAAGCCGGCAGCCTCAAGTACAGCTATTTCATAGCTCTGAATTGTGTAGTCTTCATTGCTGAAATCTAAGGCGTGCCGCCCTAATAGAGCCATAATTTACTCTGACAAGGGGAGCTAAAGTCTCAGCTCACTCCCCACCCTGCCTGTGGAAAGTACTACACTGCCAGTTCAGAATTTATAGCTACTTACTTACGGTTTCTCCAAAACAACATACTTCAAATGGCAAAAAAGATTGTGTTGTGTGTTGTGGGGGAAGGAATTGTTTTTTAAAAGAGCATACTATAGAATAGGATGGATTTACTCAATAGCAAAAGAAATATTATCTGCCTTAAAATATTTCAAAATATAAGATGTATTTTCAAAATGAAATTCATTTTGTTATTGATAATATAATCATAGCATTTTCTGCAATATTCTATATCAACTTTAAAAATGCAAAATCTCAATACTAAAATCTGAACTTTAGAGCCATTTTACCAAAGACACATGGGAAAACATAAGTATTTTAACAGAAATACGAGTTAGGTTATTATAAGTCACTTCTACACCAGCATCTGCAGAGTGAAATTTTTTAAAAAATCAAATCCCTTGAAATTCTCATGGTTTAGGGTCATAGAATAATACAGGAGGCTAAGAAGAAGTAGTAGACTTATTTTGTAAAGTAGAAAATATTTAACCATTTCATTTTGTTTTAAATGATGAAAATAGGAATCTCTTTAACCACTTTAGTGAATTTATAAATACTTAGTTTTAAAAATGAGTAAATGAATATGAAAGCATTTCAGATTATTTAAATGTATTAACAATGTTTTGAGGAGAAAATTAAGTTTCCTCTTTCACTTTTATTATTCCCTTTTAAAATATAATTTTCATAAGTTTATGACAGTTTAGATGATAAAAATATATTAGGTGAACTCAAATATTTTTTATACTTTTGACAAATGAGGAAACATGCCTACAACACATTCCCAATGGTGTTTCTCTAAATATTACTTAGCACATAAGATTCCTGTAGGATTACAAATCTATTTCAGCTCCTAAATTAAAACTCATCTGGAAAGGACCGTTTTACCCTGTTTATATAACATTGTCACATAAAGAGTGTTAAAAAAATATTTCACTAAAAATAGCTTGCGTAAGTTAGGGATTAGAGTAGTTTCTGCTGCTATAATTGTTCCTTTGTAGTTTTTTCCATGATGTTTTTGCACAGTGTTTTTGACTGTGTTTATTAAAGTCAGCACATCAAAAAGGATCAAAGAGAAAGTGAGTGAGAACCAAAGAAACCCCAAGTGTGTTGTCTCATTGGGGAGTTATGCAGATTCGCATAAACAAGTGCAAATTGTTGAGGTTTTAATGAAAATTTTCTACAATTATTTTATCTTAAGTCATTCTATACAATAACATCTGTATAGCAGATGGCTATACTGTACCAAGGCAATGCTCCTTTTTCTTTCTCTGTTTAATAGTACATCTGAGATGACTACTTTTGTCACTGTGCTCAATTTGGTTCAGCAAATAATTTGCAAAGTACAGCTGCTGCAGATGGTCACAATAGTTATATAAACTGTAAAATCAAAGACACAGTTAAGTATTTCTGTATTAGATTCAAACTATAAAAATCTGACATTAACCCCACTGAGCTCAAAGATATATTACAATATAAAAATTTTTGATTGAATGTAGAACGATGTCACTTGAAAAATACAAAAAGAAATATGACTACTGGAAGGAGATTTTGTGTACATGTGTGTGTTTTGGTGGTAGATACTTTTTACCACTTATCAAAACTATACTTTGAATAGATGTTTGTATATATTTCATCCAAAATGAAAAGCATGAATTTTTAACATATTCAAATATATAATGAAATTCCTGTTCAAGGCTTGTTAT